TTGTTTTCAGGGTTGGGTGATACCAAGGTGGAAAATGTTTGTACATATGGGGGTAATTCCTGGAATTGCAATTGAGAGGGTTCAGGCCAAAATACAATATATAGTGTTTTCATGTTTCGTCTGATATTTCTGTGGTATTCTGCTGCTGTAACTAATGCAAGATTTGTTCTGAAATTCAATGTATTGTGTGCACTCAAGGGTTATCTGTTTTTTGCTGAAAAGACCCCTATTTTTTAATGGCAGATTCGAACTAGGTTCACTCCCACTGGGAAATATGCATTTTCGCTTGAATGAGGGCTAATTAAACACATTTTCCAGACCGGCGAAAGAGTATGTAACAGCCAATTGTAACAGCCGATTGATTTTACTCAGAATGTCAACATGGAAAAAGGCTATTCCATTTTACGCAGGAATAATTGGGAATAGAATATGTGGAGGATTGTATAAACAGAGATGTGTATACTGAAAAGTAATATCTACCCTTCTTTTACATCGCTGAGCATTTCTTTTTTAGTATACTGGTTTAAAAATGCTAAATTTGCATGATTTGCGTTTTTTTTTATTGAAACGCCCCTAATAGTTGAATCCCGGGTTCATTGAATACAATGGTGAAGGGTTGGCACGATAGGGCACCGTCCGATCTCGATAGAATGTTTCGAATCAGTCATACGTATTTTAAAAGTTCCTTCACAGAATTGTGCATTGGCAAACATGCCGTCAAAACTGCGGTACTCCACTGACGGAATGAATTTCGTCGACAGCGGTCGTTGATGAGCTTCACTCTACAACTTTGCTTGTGATGTTGCTTGTTAGCCGTGGATTGAATGAATCTTGATTACCGGGAAAAATGTCGCTCATTTGGCGTTGGTAATCTTTATTTGGAACTGGGTAACTCCGCAACGTCGCCAGCAGAAACCTCCTGGTACTTTGATGTTGATGGTCTATAATAAAGCTCATTCAACATACATCATGTTCTCTCAATCGTAGTATTCCATGTGGTGTACAGCTAATATTAGGGATTTCAGTCACTTGGTTTATGACATCGGAAGAAGTGGATGTGGGCAGCCACCCTTTCAAAAACTACAAAATACGTGAGCAAAACTAAAAGCAAAAACAAATAAAAATTACCATGAATTCTAGCTTTATATCTTATGGTCATTTTCTGAAAATTGCAACCCATTGCGAGTAGCCGTTTTGACAACACGGGAGGATAAAATTTGAAACCTCCGTGACCTCCAAATTTAACCCGGTGTTCTAAATCCAGAGAAGTTTGCTGCGTTTTTCCCGCGTTGGCATGGACCGTACGATTTTGAAAATGCCACAGAAATCAAATAGAGGATGACAGCTATAGAATGAGAGATGATAGGTGAGAATCGGCCGAAAATTGGCGAAACGGCAATAAAAACAAAAGTTTAACGGCAATTTTCGTATCGACTTACAACTTTCTGGCATATCTATCACTCATTTGAAAAAAAATGTATATTTTAATAGACAATAATCTAGGTTTTGTGAATGTGACATCAATTTAAACAACAAGCCCATTTTAAAAGTGGTACCTCCAACCCGGTACTTTGTTTACATGGACTCCATTTTCATGTACGAAGAGAATGTTTCACTCCTTCACTTTTATATACGGCAAAATACGTTTATTTTGTTTTTAACATGTTGACAATGCAGCGTAAATGCAAAGTGAAACGAATTGTACATGATAGAGCATTTACAACTGTAGAATTTTGATGATTTATTGGTTATTTTGGCATAAAAATAGATCGATCAGGCACAGAGATTTCAAATTTTCCGGGCAGTTCCCAGTTATGTTTTCCATGCATACTTCTTTTCTAAGTTGCCAAAAAATAAGCTGTATATTATGCTATAATGTTATATCTTAGATTTGTTTATTTGTGTCAATGCTTTTTGTTTCATAAGTGTTATTATAGCGTAAAAATAAGCAAAGCTTGGTAGAACGCATAGCCGGTCGATGAGGGCGTTTTCAATGCATTTGTATATGGAATAAAAACGAAGGCAACATAAACGAAAGTAAAACTTGTTTATCTTTATTGACACTGACAGATGATTTGAAATTAAATTTGAATATGGCCTGTTTCCATGGTAACAGATGGTCTATATGTTGCCCTCTAATGACATTAGATAAGCATTGATATAAAGTACATTTGTTAAAAATTTGGTGAAAATTCAATAAAAAAGGGGGAAAGATATGGCAGTTTAAGTTCAGCTCCAATTAAATAATTAGTGCTTATTCATCCAAAATGTAGAATGCTGTGTGGGTAATATTGTTATATGGATTTTTGTTGCATTTGCAGCAAATAGTTACCAAACAATGAAAAATCGATAGGATTGAATATACCTCTCAGGTGGCTTCACATGCATAGTTCAAGACTGCCTAACCGGTGCTTATACCAGGTTTTAGTTACAACACCTAGACGGTATGTGGTTACAGCTTCATGTTCCGAGTAATCGCAAGAAATTGACATGACAATAGAAATTCATGAAA